ACCTCTTAGTATTCAATCATTGGATGTGGAATTTCTGGGAAGAACCTGGTTTGGTTCAAAGTCTGAGGAGCATCCTGAAGATGCTAATTGGAGACTGTCAGTACCATTCTTGCACTTGAATAGCAAATTCTGAAAGGGAGGTCCTACTGCTATAACTCTATGTTATAAAACTCTATAACACAGAATGCCAGAAAAAAAACTTTATGAAAATACAATCATATCTTAAACTATACAATATTAAATTGATAATATCTGACATCCAATCAAAAGTTGTTAGATATATGAAAAAGTAGAAAACATAACCCATTAATAGAGGAGAAAAATTAGTAGGAAAAAAAATCAATCACTAAAAACAAATCTTAGATCAGGGATCTAAGCTATTACCTTGAGTAATTAGAAAAAGAAAAGCAAATTAAATTCAAAGTTAAAAAGAAAAAAATTAGTAAAGAATAAAGGTTCAATAATTTTCTGAAAAGACTCACAGAACTCACCAAAAGCTGTTATACTCACAGTTTGTTCCAGGGAAAGATTTAAATCAGCCAAGGGAAGAAGGACATAGGATAGAGTTCTGGAAAGTACCAAACATACAGACAGCTTCTAGTCGTTCTATCTCTGTGGAGTCTTGGACAGCATCCCTGGCAACAATGTGTGATAGTACATACAGACAAATGTATTGCCAAGTAGGAATGTTCAACCAAGCTTCAATGTCCAGAGTTTTTATTGGAGCTTCATCAGATAGGCATGACTGACCAACCATGTGGCTTATGTCAGTTTCCAGACTCTTAGGAGGTCATTCTGATATTGCATGACCCAAAGCCTCTATCCTAAATTCCAATGTTACTATCTGGCTGTCTAAAGGTTCCTAGGTAAACAAGTAAGCTCCTATTGGCCATGGTGTTTCAAGGGCTTAAATATTACCTCCCCAAAGCCAGAGTAAAAGGTTAAACCTCTCTTTGGGCAAAGTTAAATTATTTAACACACAATACTGTATATCCTTCAAGTAAAAGATCAACTTTCATTTCCTCCATAAAATATTCCTTTACTATATGGTAGACAATGTCTATTTCTTTTTTCTTCATTCCCATTTACTTATGTCTGTAATATGTGAACAGTTACAACCTCTGATATGATCTAATAATTTGATACCTAATCTAACATTGGTTTATTTGAAGCTTCTTTCTCTATTTGGTTAATAATTCCCCCAAACTAAGGACCTTTCTTTTACTTTTCCTATTGTAGCTTGTAACAGAGAGGCTAGGAGCCACTAGGTATTCAGTAGTTGTCTTATAGATTGTTTGTGGTGCCATGCAAAGAAAACTGCTTTCTTATCCTTTTCAGAAATGATTCACTGGTAAGTTCTTTTTAGGTATATCTGCCAAGATCACATCCCCTCACCTCAGATGACACTGTATTAATATACTCAGAAGGTTTCAAATAATATAGTCAATAAAATATTGACCTCTAAGATTATAAGTTTTAGTTGGAAAAGAAATATTTTGAAATTGAGCATTTTATATAGAATACTCATGTTAAAATGCCAGGTTGTTAGAAGATTTCTTGAAATGGATGATCCAGACCATAATTATACTCCAATTTCACACAAACTAGACACTGAACGGTAGAAATACTACCTGAAGGCTTTAGGAAAAATTGAATAGTAGCATGTATCAGGAAGTGTTTGAGGTTCTTAGGAAAACAGTGTAACTTCACTTACCAATACATGTTGCCAGCCTGCATGGGGAAGGGAAACAAACCAGAGTGGAAGTGGTGGGGAGTGAAGAAAATATAGCACAAGAAAAGACACAAGAGGTGAAAGACGGAATCAGGAGGTCTGACTGAGCTGATGGCTGCAGCCAGCACCAAAGCTCAAAATCAGCTTTATTTTATAGTATCTGGACAGGGCTATCTACGGGGAAGTAGCATTGACAAAAGACATATCTTTGGTCTTATAGTACAACTGAAAAATGTAAATAACTTTAATAAAGACAAATCATCCTGTTAATGGTTTCTACTCAACTTCATTGACATATGATAAGAAATAAAAAGGGGAAAGATCACAGGATTTCTGCATAGTTCTTAAAAATTAACTACACAAAGAAAGAGGTATTTGACTTTCGGCAGAGGGACCTTGAAAAGGAATATGGTTGTTTTGGGAAATGAAAAGCAGTTGGGGGTTCATTCGCGGAATGTTCCCCAGGCTGTGGGAGCCCGGCTGCCTCATGGCCCCCTCTCCACAAATACAGAAATAAGTTTTATGTGTTCCAGAACTGCACATAAATGGAATTGTATAATATGTTCTCTTTTGCATAAAGCTTACACTCTGCAAAATGTTTGAAATTTTTCCCTTTTGTCACTGTGTATTAGTAGGTTGTTTTTTTTTCATTTTCATTGCTGAGATAGTATTCTATTATATAAATACAGTGTTACATGTTTAATTTTTGATGGATATTTGGGCTATTTCCAATATGAGGCTATTATGAATAAAATAAAAAATTATACATAAGATGAATGGATCTTTAAAATTGCCCTACTAAATATGAGTAGTAGTAAGGCAACAACAATAAGATACAGTTAAGGATTTGTAGAAAAATGATAGTTAAGGTAAATTAGTACACTACACATATATTAAAGAGGGGTGCAGAGTTAAGGTATGTTATTGCATTGGGAGGAAAACTTGAACTTATGGACTGTGCCATAGCTTAGTGGGTAGGGCACCACGTACACTGAGGCTGGCTGGTTCATACCTGCAGCCGTGACAACTGCAACAACAACAACAAAATAGCTGGCCTGTAATCCCAGCTAATTGGGAGGCAAGAGAATCACTTAAGCCCAAGAGTTCAAGGTTGCTGTGAGCTGTGACGCTATTGTACTCTACCCAGGGTGACAGCTTAAGACTCTGTCTCAAAAAAAAATTTGAACTTAAAAATGAAAAAAGTAATTCAAGATATTGAAAGAAAGGAAAAGTAGTCAGGAGAATTTCCTTGTTAACTATCTCTGGAAGAATAAATTGATGGTAGTAGCCATCAGAATACAACAGTAATTATATTCATGTTACAGATATTCTTTGTCTCTTGTTTATTTTATAGTTCCTAATGGGAGTACGTTTTCCTAATTTCCTGCTTTCAAAAGAAAATAAATCACAGTTATATAGACAGTTAGGGCTTAGGCCAATGATTTTCACCTGGTGTGCTGTGAAAACTTTTAAAGATCATTGATTACCAAGCTAGGCACAGTGGCTCAGGCATTAATCCTAGAACTCCTGGAGGCTGAGCTGGGTGGATTGCCTGAGTTCACAAGTTCCAGACCAGCCTGAGCAAGTGTGAGACCCAGTCTCTAAAAAATAGCCAGGCATGGGCAGCGCCAATGGCTTAGTGAGTAGGGCGCCAGCCCCATATACTGAAGGTGGCGGGTTCAAACATGGCCCCAGCCAAACTGCAACAGAAAAATGGCCGGGCATTGTGGCGGGTGCCTGTAGTCCCAGCTACTCGGGAGACTGAGGCAAGAGAATTGCCTAAGCCCAGGACTTGGAGGTTGCTGTGAGCTGTGTGACGCCATGGCACTCTACTGAGGGTGATAAAGTGAGACTCTGTCTCTTAAAAAAAAAAAAAATAGCCAAGCATTTTGGCAGGTCACTATAGTCCCAGCTCCTCAGGAGGCTGAGGCAAGAGAATCACTTGAGCCCAAGAGTTGGAGGTTGTTGTGAGCTATGACACTACAACATTCTACCGAGGGCAAAAAAGTGAGACTCTGTCTCAAAAAAAATAATAAATAAAATAAAGATCATTGATTACATTATTTTCAAAGAAGTTCAAAGTGTAGTAAACATATTCTTTTTTTTTTTACTCTTGTTTTTGATCAACATAATTTAAGTGTGCCAGGCATGTTTAACTGTTAAGTTCAAGTGTGCTGTGAGATAAAAATAGTTTGGAAAAACTCTGGCCTGACTATAGACTAGTGTTTCTATAAACACTAGGAAATGAGCTTGAGAAAGTTCTTTTGTCATGGATGGCCTAAACTGAAGTGAAGAAGAAAGAAACGTAAGCGTTTTTACAATACTTAGGAGGAGAGGATAAATTGGTAGTCCATCTCTTCCGAAGTAATTTGCCTCGACATATTAGTATCCTTACTAAGCGCACTTCATTATCTTTGAATCTTCCCATTCTAAGAACAATCCTAAGTTGATCATTCTTTTTTGGGGCTTATTCTTGTGTTTGTACTTACTCAGTGCAGCTTATATTTACAACATGTCAGAGATATAAGTATTCTTTCTTCATGCCAATTTTTCTTCATTTTAACAGTGTAGCAAGATTTATTGGGCAGTGCCTGTGGCTCAGTGAGTAGGGCACTGGCCCCATATACCAAGGGTGGCAGGTTCAAACCTGGCCCCAGCTGAACTGCAACAACAAAAAAAATAGCTAGGCATTGTGGTGGGTGCCTATAGTCCTAGCTACTTGGGAGGCTGAGGCAAGAGAATTGCCTACGCCCAGGAGTTGGAGGTTGCTGTGAGCTGTGTGATGCCACAGCACTCTACCAAGGATGACAAAGTGAAACACTGTCTCTAAGAAAAAAAAATAAAAATAAAAATTTTATCTTTGTACCTTTTATGTTTGTGCATTTCCCTTAGCAATAGATAATTTATCATGGCCTTTTTTTTTTTGAGACAGAGTTTCAAGCTGTCACCCTTGGTAGAGTGCCATGGCACCACAGCTCACAGCAACATCAAAGTCTTGGGCTTAAGTGATTCTCTTGCCTCAGCCTCCCAAGTAGCTGGGACTACAGGCACCCACCACAATGCCCAGTTATTTTTTTTGTTGTTGTTGCAGTTATCAGTATTGCCAGCCTCAGTGTATGTGGCTGACGTCCTGAGCTATGGGTGCTGCCCTATCCTGGCCTTTTAATAGATCACAGTAGAAGGTAATCCCACCACAGTTTGTTCCTATATACACTAATATACAGCATTTATGTGAGAACTTAACAGTATTAATTGTGTTCTTTTCTAGAAGAAGATGGGAAAGCTGAAAGTCTTTTAGTGAAGTTCAAAGACTACCAAGACAGGCTTTCTAGATCAGTTGTGTTCATCAACCACAAAAGACTAATTAAGGAGAAAAGTAATATTTATGGTAAAACACTTACTTTAGGCAAGAACCATATTATTTCAAAAACACTATGTGAATATAAACCTGAGGGAAAGGTTTTGAAAAATATTTCAGAATTAGTCATTACAAATATAAGCCCCTTGAGAGAAAAGTTTGGAGTGAGTAATGGATGGGAGAAATCACTCCTCACTACTAAGCATGAAAAAATTTATCCTAAAGTGAATCTCCATAAACAAACAGAAAAAGATCTCAGTGGTAAACAGGAACTTATTCAGCATCAGAAGGTTCAAACTCCTGAACAATCATTTGAGCATAATGAATGTGAGAAATCCTTCCTTATGAAAGGAATGTTATTTACACAAACTAGGGGTCACAGAGGAGAAAGAACCTTTGAATACAATAAAGATGGAATTGCCTTCATAGAAAAGTCAAATCTCAACATCCATCCACCCAGTCTTATGGAAAAGAAGCCTTCTTCTTACAACAAATATGGGAAATTCCTCTGTAGAAAGTCTATTTGTATTATGCATCAGCGATCTCAAATCGAAGAGAAACCCTTTCAATGTCCTTACTGTGGGAATCGCTTTAGAAGGAAGTCATACCTTATAGAACATCAGCGAATCCATACGGGTGAGAAACCTTATGTTTGTAATCAATGTGGAAAGGCCTTCCGTCAGAAGACAGCCCTCACTCTTCATGAAAAAACACATATAGAGGGGAAACCCTATATTTGTATTGATTGTGGGAAGTCCTTCCGCCAGAAGGCAACCCTCACTAGACATCACAAAACACATACAGGGGAGAAAGCTTATGAATGTACTCAATGTGGAAGTGCCTTTAGAAAGAAGTCATACCTCATTGATCACCAGAGAACTCACACAGGAGAGAAACCCTATCAGTGTAATGAGTGTGGAAAGGCATTTATCCAGAAGACAACCCTGACTGTACATCAGAGAACTCACACAGGAGAGAAACCCTATATTTGTAATGAATGTGGAAAGTCTTTCTGCCAAAAAACAACCCTTACTCTTCATCAGAGAATTCATACAGGGGAAAAACCCTATATTTGTAATGAATGTGGGAAGTCCTTCCGCCAGAAGGCAATCCTCACTGTTCATCACAGAATACATACAGGAGAAAAATCCAATGGATGTCCTCAGTGTGGGAAGGCCTTTAGTAGGAAATCAAATCTCATTCGCCATCAGAAAACTCACACAGGAGAGAAACCTTATGAATGTAAAGAATGTGGGAAGTTCTTCAGTTGTAAGTCTAACCTCATTGTCCATCAGAAAACTCACAAGGTAGGAACCATAGGAATTCAGTAAGTGATGGGACTTTTTTCGTAAGAAACTTTTAAGTCATAGTAAATCCTATATATGATGTTGCTTGTAAGTGTAATAATATCCAGCAGTTTAAAATACCATACTACATATAACCTGGTATTTTCTAGGATAGCAGCTAGCCTATAAAACACACAAAAAAAATATTACTAGACAAATGACAAAAAAATCACTGAAAATAAGAGCTCCAAGTTTTTATTATTAGATTCATCAGATGAAAACTCCTTCAAATTGCTATAAACATTTTAAGTGGTTTATTTTCAATATCTGTGTATCTTTTTGTGAACCAGTAATAAACAGTTGGCCAACTGGCAGTGGTCCGTGGACTACACTGTGAGTAGAAGTTCTTTAAGAAAGCATGTATGTTCTCAATATGGACAAAGTGATGGGGTGGGGGTGGAAAGGAGGTGTAAACTGTATTTCTCATCATAAATATGAAATAAAAATTAGTTGTTACCTCTTCAGAGGTAACCACAGTCTGACTTCTGACATTAAAAATTAGTTTTTACATATTATATTACATATATATCAGATTATATATTATTGTGTATACTTTTATATGTGGCTTATTTCATTCATTATTATGTCTAAGTCTAATCACTAAGTGCATGTGGCAGAAGTTTGTTTTTATTCTATATATAATTCCATTATATGATTATATCGCAACTTATCCATTCTGTCAATGGACTTTTACACTGTTTACAATTTGGGCATCCTCAAACTACGGCCCGCGGGGTGTTTTTGCTGCCACTGCCTGTCCTGCTTAGCAGCCAACTTGTCCCAGGGCCTGCAGTCCAGCCCTCCAATGGTCTGAGGGACAGTGAACTGGCCCCCTGTTTAGAGTTTGAGGACCCCTGGTTTACATCTTAGGGAAATAATAAATAATATTTCTGAAAACCTATTTGTCTTTTGCTGTACATATATGTATTTCTCTTGGGTATAATATTTATAAATAGAATTTGCTGGGTTTTAGAGCATAAGTATGTTCAGTCAGCTTTGGTAGATACTTCCAAAAATTCAGAACTCTTTTTCTTTTTCTTTTCTTTTTTTTTTTTTTTGAGACAGTCTCACTATGTCGCCCTCATAGAGTGCTATGGCATCACAGCTCACAGCAACCTCAAACTTTTGGGCTTAAGCAATTCTCTTGCCTCAGCCTCCTGAGTAGCTGGGACCACAGGTGTCTACCAAAACACCTGGCTAAAAAATTCAGAACTTTTATAGCATGAGAAATGACTCTATTAAACAACTATTAATTTTATCAATATGATGGTAGGTCAAACCAGAGAATCCATGCCAGAGGGAAACTGTATTATTATGATAACAGGGAATGTGAATGGAATACATGTAAGAAAGGTTTTTAGTGACAATCCAAACCTTAATATAATAATACCAATATATATAATAAATGTGAGATTGACTTTAACCACAGTTAATGCCCTATTTGAAATCAAAAAGTCATACTAGAGAAAAGGAGACATCCAGAATTTCCCTTTGTTCAACATTTGAGAATTTTAACTGGAGAAATATCCTGTAATTATATTGAAATTGGGGGACTCAGAGGAATATAACACTTAGCCTGCAGCCTGTATCTGCTGCCAACTATCCTAAGTCCTCCTCTTTGGTTGTCCTGAGTCTTTCTCAGGGACTTAGGGACCCTTTCTTCTTTCTGGGTCCCTCTTCTAAACAGAACCCATCTCCCACTTCACCCAGGACAACATTCTGGGGGATCCCTTTCATGAGGGTTCCCTTCCTTAGGCATCTGGCATGCTGCAAGATCACACAGATCTGGCTTTGAATGCCTTGTGCCCACAGGGAAACCCTGATCATGATGCCCTTCAGATGGCTGCATGATTTACACTGGATGAGATGTAGCCCAAGGTCATAGGCCATTGGCTTGGAATCACTGCTGTATCCTTTCATCTATCTTCTGTTCTTGGTTGATGTGTGTAGTAGGGGAGCCATGCCTTTAAGTACTGTGTTCCTGGGGCAAGGGTGTGGGACTCAGGTCACAGCACTGCTTCTGCTTTCCAGCTAAAGGATGACTAGGGTTTGAGTGGGTGCAGGTGTGGTCCTAGTTGTTGAAGGCAGGGCTGTTTTCACTTCTCAGAGTTCTTTTGCCTTCTGGTGAAATACCCCTCCACCCTACCCCTTCCCTGGGACTCCAGCAGTGGTCTTGTGTGGTCCCAGATATGCTCTGTTTCTCCTTGACTTTCTTGGGGTCTTCAGAGATCCCTACATGCAGACCTATAGTCATTGTCAGTCTCAGCGTAGCCCAGGCCTGCTTATGAAACACTGGCTTCACTCCACCTGCCCTTTTGAAATCCTGTTTCCCCGAGTAGCCTAACTGTGATCACCTTTGCTGTCCCTACTTGTGTAGGTCCATGTTTCCACCTTTGTTGAGCAGTGGTGGGGAGAAGCATGGGGAAACAGGGAAATGATAATACCAGGTAGGCCCAGGTTCCAAGGAGGCAGCGGACACAAGGGTTGGTGAATTCTCAGCTGGCCTCTGCACATGTGGAGTCTGATGCCTCCCAAAACCCCATACCCCTCGCCAGGTTTCATTCCCACCGCCATGTGAGCCCACTCCTGCCCACACCATCCAGGCTGAAATTGGATCTCAAGAACACTGCGATTGCTCTCCCCTCCCTGGGAAACTGGGCCTCCACCGGGAATCTACCCCCCAGAGTCAGGCTCCAAGGGACTCTTGGAACTGGACAGCTGGGGGTTTAGCCCTGGGTCTTTAACGCGACCTCCTGGCGCCTCCCGTATATCCCAGTCAAATCTCTGGCTCTAAACTCCCCTACCCAGCCTTCTAGAGATTGCCTGGCGGCCACAGAGAAATTTACATAAGTCCCGCTCACTGGTTACTGCGCATGCGCATGCTTGGGATGTGGGGCAAGCTTGGGATGTGGCGCGTGCGCTCAGTTCCGCAGCGGTTGCCTACAGCTCCTTTCTCTGTGGCATTGAGGCGCGGTGCCTTGCGGTGCTGTGGTCCGCCCTTTCAAGTGGCCGGAGGGGGTGCACCGGGTCCCTGAAGTGGAGGAGAAACCACCGGGCTGAAGAAACCGCCGCGGGAGTCACCAGACGCACCGCGGGATCCATGGCTGCCTCAGGCCAGCCTCGTGAGGTGGATGTGAGTCTCCCCCAGCGTCCTGGGCCCTGCGACCTCCAGGGCCGGTCCACTCCCAGACCACAACCTCCGGAGCCGCTGGTTGCGAGTGTGTGCCCGACATGCAGTGAAATTGTATGCGTGCGCGTGTAGTTTGCGTATGGGGTCTGATGGAAGTTTTCTTTTGCAGTAACAGGGGACGGTGTGGAGTGGGGCTTGTGGGTGGACTGCTGTCAAGTTCCCTTGCTCTCTGGTGAGACCCTGCCTGTGATCCCGCTTGGGCTGTGTGGCCTAGGGCGAGCTCTTTTCCTTGGGGTTCCTGTTAGAGTTTGTGAAGGCTTACGTGAGTAGGGGGCAGGAGGAGGACTGACTCAGACCAGCTGGCGTAGGAGTAACCTTCCCACCCAAATGGATGGCTTTTCCTAACGTTAGGGGACCCCTTCATAGTTGACAGAACTCTCAGAAGGAAGCCATTCTCAGGTGCAAGAGAGGTGCATACAGATATGAAGGAAGGGGATGCTATCTCCATTCCTCTTTTCCTCCTAGGATCATATCTTATCCCATGGCCCAAGGATTAAGAAGCAGAGCATACAGTTGGGACAGTGTTTCAATCTATCTGTGGCCTTTAGAACTCCATCCCCCCTTTTTGCATTCCCTCCCTCATCCACATTCACATGGCAGTGAGGAATGATTTCTCTTGCATGGGCTACCACCTATTGTGAGAGCCAAACTAGCTCCATTTTGTTGTTTACAGCACAAGCTCCATTCTTGGCTGTTTACAGCACAAGCCCCATTCCTGGCTGTTTACTGCATAAGTTCCATTCCTAGCCCTTCCACCCCAACCTCTGCCAGTGAAACCTGCAGGGCCACTCCCTGCTGCCTCTCCCCCACCCCAGGTTGCACAGCCACTGAACCATAAACTGAGTCACCTTAGGCAAACAGCTGCTATAATAAACAATAAGTTTCTATTACCTTGAAATACAGGTAATCAGGCTGCACCAACTCTAGCCCCCGGTTAAGGGACCCCCCACCCCTCACCTATACCAATCCAAATTCACCTTTACTAGTGAAATCATCAGCTACCAATGCAAATCCTCCTTTACTTCCTCCTTTACTAATGAAATCACCAACCACCAATCAAAAGTGTACTCGTACCGGACCCTACCCTTCTTGCTTTCTGTACCCCATAAAAACTTGTTCCACCCCGGGTTTGGGGCTCTTCCTCAGCTTGCATGCCAGGAGAGACCAGACCCGGGTCTGAATAAAACTCACCTTTTGCCTTTTACATCAGAGTGTGTCTTGGATTTGTCTGTTGGGGCTGTTTGGGAGATTTTTTCAGGCATAGCACTATCATAAGTCCTCCATCTTCTGTTGTCCCAGATTTTCTCTGGGGCTTAGACTTTTCTTCTTTCTGGGTCCATTTCCCAGTTCACCCAGGAAGATATTCTGGGGATCCCTTTTATGAGGGTTCCCTCTGCACTCTTCTTAGGCATCTGGCATGGTGGGTGATCAGGCAGATCTGACTTTCCATGCCTTGTGCTGGCAGGGGAACCCTAGGTCACAATGCCCATTCAGTCACCTTTGAAGTATTTAGCTTGCCCATCTGATGACTGTTCTGATATTCACCAATGAGATAGATATGTAGCACTTTTTTTTTTTTTTGGAGACAGAGCCTCAAGCTATCCCCCTGGGTAGAATGCCATGGCATCACAGCTCACAGCAACCTCCAACTTCTGGGCTCAAGCAAGTCTCCTGCCTCAGCCTCCAAAATAGCTGGGACCACAGGTGCCTGCCACAATGCCCAGGTATTTTTTGGTTGCAGCCATCATTGTTGTTTGGCAGGCCCAGGCTGGATTCAAACCCGCCACCTTAGGTGTATGTGGCTGGCGCCTTAGCCACTTGAGCCAGAAGCACTGAGCCTATTTTTTTTAAGGGCTTTTTTTTGCAGTTTTTGACTGGAGCTGGGTTTGAACCCCCCACCTCCAGCATATGGGACCGGTGCCCTACTCCTTTGAGCCACAGGTACCGCTCGATATGTAGCACTTTCTAGGATGAGTTCACCAACTTAGTTGTCAGACTTCATACAATGGCATCTCCAATGACCATTCCAGAAGAAGAGTTCCAAAATTGCTCTCAAGGGTGGACTAGGTGCTAGTGTTGGTGCGTGGCTTCCCAAGGGGAGTACCTTGAGGGTGACCTTAGTGATGTTCAGTAGTAAGGGTATGTACACTGTTTCTATGATAAGTTTCCAAACGTAACTGTCGGACGTCCATGCTATCTGGTAGAAATAATAAGCAGGGGTCAACACTCCACAGTGTTCGTTTCTGGAATACTTTCTATAAGGTAGGCATGGGCCTAGGGTCATAGGGAATAAAACAGGGACAAATGTTCTAGTGTAGAAGCAAAATATAAAATACACCATGGTAGTAACTGGTGTGAAGACATATAAAGGAGGAAGAGTGCAAGGCTGGAATTTTAACCCAATAAGGCAGGGAAAGGCAGAGAAGGCCTGTGAGGAGGCCTTCCTTTCCTTTTCTCATGGAAAAAAAGACATGAGAGAGCAAGCCACACAGATAAAATGAAGAAGTGCTCTTTGCAGAGGCTACTGCAAATCCAAAGACCCTGAGACAGGAACTGAATGGTTACAGTTATGTTTGAGACACATGAGGGAGAAGGGTTTTAAGGACTGCGTGGCACAAAGATGTCACAGAGCAGAGAGGAAACATATGTTGGTGTTGGTTTTTTCATGAGTTAGTGATTTGTTATTATGAAAGTAACATTAAGGAATGAGTTGGAAGAACTGTGGCAACAGAAGAGAGACTTCAGTTGACCCAGGTAACCGGAAAATTCTTACCTGAAAAGCTGTCAGGAGAGTAGTGAGAGTTCACATGACACTGTGTTGTGGGTCAAAAGACAATGTACTGATGGCTTTAGAGGCTTAGAGACACTGCAGGTGGCTGTGGGTTGGGGTGCTAGGTGACAGTGAGTCAAAATACACTCTGAGGTTTATATATGTATATATAAGGACTTTTTAAATTATAATATTTCTCTTGATAATATGTAATGGGTGGATTAGATAAGCACTACTAGGTTAGTTTCAAAAGAATGAAAAATCACCCATGAAGCTGTTAGACAGTATGTTCCCAAAAAAAGCAATTCACAAACCTCAGGATTTATCACTATTATATATATTGTGTTTTACCATTCAATTTGTTGGTACCATAGTATTCCACAGGAAACAGATTATCATTAGCATAATCTTTCTTATGAAGAATTTGGCAACAGTATTCCATAATAGTTTTTATGAGAAGGCTTTTTCTAATGCCCCTAATTGACTCAGATCTGTCTCAGTATGAATGTCTAAGGTTTGATGAGGCTGGTGACAATGTAGAAAGCTTCCCCTCTCCTCAGTCAGTGCATTCTCAGATGTCATCTTCTGAACAATAATGTGTGACTTTTCTTTTCTTTTCTTTTCTTTTTTTTTGGAGACAGAGTCTCACTTTGTCACCCTCAGTAGAGTGCTGTAGCGTCATAGCTCACAGCAACCTCAAACTTTTGGACTCAAGCAACTCTCTTGTCTTAGCCTCCCAAGTAGCTAGGACTACAGGTGCTTGCTACAACATCCATCTGTTTTTAGAGACAAGGTTTCACTCTGGCTCAGGCTGGTCTTAAACCTGTGAGCTCAGGCAGTCCAGCCACCTTGGCCTCCCAGAGTGATAGGATTACAGGCGTGAGCTACCTCACCTAATGTATAGCCTAATGTATGACATTTTGATGTGGACATTTATTTAAAATAATACTCCACTGTATGAATTTAATGATGTACAATCAAACCTGTCCTCAGTGAGGTGTTACTCTGTTTCTCTCAAGTGTGACTACTCTGATGCATGTTGAGCACTGATTTCTGAACAAAACCTTTACCACAGATTGCACACTTGTAGGGTTTGTCTCCTGTGTGTGTTGTCTGGTGTTTATTCAAATTTGACCTGTCAGTAAAGGCCTTCCCACACTCAGCACATACATAAGGCTTCTCTCCTGTGTGAATTCGCTGATGCACTTGGAGCTGTGATTTCTTAATGAAAGACTTCCCACAGTCACTGCATTCATAAGGTTTCTCCCCAGTATGAATTCTATGATGTGTAATCAACTCTGACTTCTGTCTGAAGGTCTTCCCACATTCAGAACACATGTAGGGCTTTTCTCCTGTATGAGTTTTCTGGTGTTTACTGAGATTTGACCTACCACTAAAGGCTTTCCCACACTCAGCACACACATATGGTTTCTCTCCTGTGTGAATTCGTTGATGCACAAGGAGTTGAGATTTGGAGGTAAAAGATTTCCCACAGTCACTGCATTCATAAGGTTTCTCTCCAGTATGAATTCTCTGATGAGTAATAAAGTTTGACTTCCGGATGAAGGCTCTTCCACACTCGGTACATACATATGGTTTCTCCCCTGTATGAATCTTCTGATGCACAATGAGTATTGATTTCTGGTTGAAGGCTTTCCCACACTCGTGGCATTTATATTGTCTCTCTCCAGTATGAATTTTCTGGTGTATATTGAGATGTGATTTCTGAGTGAAGGCTTTCCCACAGGTACTACATTCATAAGGTTTCTCTCCAGTATGGATTCTCTGGTGTGTAATCAAATCTGACCTCTGAGTAAAGGCCTTCCCACATTTAGAGCATACATAAGATTTTTCTCCTGTGTGAGTTTTCTGATGTGTAATGAGATTTGACCTGTTGGTGAATGCCTTTCCACATTTATTGCACTCATAGGGTTTTTCTCCTGTGTGAATTCGTTTATGCACATGGAGTTGTGACTTGGAAGTAAAGAATTTGCCACAGTGACAACATTTGTAAGGTTTTTCTCCAGTATGAATTATTTGATGTGCTATCAGGTGTGCCTTCTGGATAAAAGCCAACCCACATTTCATGCATACATATGATTTTTCTCCTGTGTGAATTCTCTGGTGCACTGTGAGTGCTGACTTCTGAGTGAAGGCTTTTCCACAGTCACTGCATTCATAAGGCTTCTCTCCAGTGTGAATTCTCTGATGTATAATCAACTCTGATCTGTAGGTAAATGCTTTCCCACATTCTGCACATATGGAGGATTTCTCTCTAATTTGAACTTTCTTATGTGTAATTAGGTTGGAAGTATTGTGAAAGAACTTGTTATATTGAGTACACATATAGGGCTTTACCCTTGTGTGAATTCGTTGATGTACCTGAAGTTGTGACTTAGATATGAAGGACTTCCCACAGTTACTGCATTCAAATGGTTTTTCTCCAGTATGAATTCTTCGGTGTGCAGTTAAGTGTGTCTTCTGAATGAAAGCCTGTCCACATTCAATACATATGTAGGATCTCTCACCTGTATGAATTTTCTGATGCATCTTGAGAGTGGACTTTTGTATGAATGCTTTTCCACAATCACTGCATTCATGGTGTCTTTCTCCACTATGAATTTTCTCATGTATACTGAGATCTGAGTTGTAAGAGAAGCCTTTCCCACATTCACTGCATTCATAGAGTTTTTCTCCAGTATGAATTCTTTGATGCCTAAAGAGAGAAGACACTTGGAAAAAGGATTTTCCACATTCATTGCATTTATACGGCTTCTCTCTAGTATGTGTTCTTTGATGCATAATGAATTCTAGCTTTTCTATAAAAGCCTTCCCACATTCAGTACACACATAGAGTTTTTGTCCTGCATGAACTTTCAGATATACCTTGAGCTGTGACTTCTGGGTGAAGATCTTTCTAAATTCAGCATAGTCATAAGATTTCTCCCCAGGATGAATTTTCTGATGTTGAGAGAACGCTTGTTTGTAACTGAGGACTTTTCCACATTGATTATGGTCCTGTAATTTGTGTCCTAATGGGAGTATACTCATGGTTAGAAAAGTTGCCATATTTAGTAATCTTTTTGACATTCTTCAATGAATTATTTTTATTGACTGTGTAAATATAAATTAAGCTTTAAACCATGTCCAACTGACCACACTGATGGGGGCTTCTGGAAAAAAAAATGATGTCTGGGCTCACATGAATTATTTTTCTAATACCTTCATATTCATAATGCTTCTTTGTAGTCACTATTTTCTTGATGAAAGCAGTATCACTTAAATATTTATTTTCTCTTTGCTGATAGATCTTTATATCATCACCAATCTACCACAATTCTAAAATGAAATACAACCTACCTTTATTCTATCATCATATTCCCTCTCCAATGTTCCTAGAAGCCTTTTCAGAGATTCCCCACAATAAGGCTTGAAGCCCAAACTCCGCTTCTCAAAAGAGAACCAGGTGATTTTAGCTCAAAGAACAGATAGCAGAGAGGCAAGAGGAAAAGGTGCAAATGCCTTATTCCATTTGAACACAGAGAAAAGGGTGAAGGTGAGTAACTTGATGAAGAAAGCAGTCATAGTGTACACAAGAAACACTTTGGGAAATAGCTCAGCAGTTAGAGGAAATAAACTAGATGAATAAATAAACATAGATTTGGAAAAAGGTAAAGAAGAAGAAACATATCATAGCAATGTTCATATGAACTAATGATGTATACCCATAGTTCACATTAAATTTTATGGCATGAGGGCCAGGCACAGTGGCTCACGCCTGTAATCTCAGCACTTGGGAGGCTGAGGTGGATGGATTGCCTGAGCTCACGGGTTGGAGACCAGCCTGAGCTAGAGCAAGACATCATTTCTAAAAATAGCCAGGCATCATGGCAGGTGCCTGTAGTCCCAGCTACTTGAGAGGCTGAAGCGAGAGAATTACTTGAGTCCAAGAGTTTGAGGTTGCTGTAAGCTTTGACACCATAGCACTCTACTGAGGGCAAGAATATTTTCTCATATAAAACAGTGAATTAACATGGAAGGTAGATAGATATAGACAAAGGAGAGAAAAGGGAATAAATCAAAATATAAAATAAGATAGAATCCTCACCTAACCTCATGATAATAGTGTGTCTTAAACTGAGGACTGTGATTAAACTTACACCTTATCAGGTGAAGTACAAAAATAAAGCAATAACAACAACAGCCAACCAAGTAGAGACCCCAGTTAGTGTGTAATTACTTAAGATTAGAAGGAAATGTAAGGAAGGGTGATAAATGTAAAACACAGCAGAAAGGTAAGTGCCAAAGATTGAGTGCCAATAACCCCTGAAGTCATCAGCTGGATGAAAAGCATGGAGAACTGGGAAAAAAATGAGAAATCTCTCTGGGTGCACTGGCTCACATCTGTAATTCTAGCACTCTAAAGGCTGAAGCTGGTAGATTGCTTGAGTTCAGGTGTTGGAGACCAGCTAAGCAGAGGGGAGACCAGCCTAAGCAAGAATGAGACCTCATCTCTAAAAAGAGCTGAGCATTGGGCAGTGCCTGTGGCTCAAGGCAGTAGGGCACCAGCCCCATAATACCAGAGGTGGCAGGTTCAAACTTGGCCCCGGCCAAAAAAAAAAAAGTAGCTGAGCATTGTGTTAGGTGCCTGTGTCCCAGTTACTTAGGAGGCTAAGGTAAGAAGATGGCTTGAGTGCAGGAGTTTGAGTTGGCTGTGAACGATAATGCCATGGCACTCTACCAAGGGTGACAAAGTGAGACTTTATCTCAGAAGAAAAAAAAAAGTGAGAAATCTCATGGCAGTGACTATGGGAAAAATAGGATGATAACCTGAGTGGAGATATGAGGCATCTCATAGTGAGAAAGAAAGAAATAAAAGGGTACTAGCAGGAGGTGGAATATATGACACATAATAATTATGAAAGAAAGTGGATCATGGATTTCCTAAATATATAAAGAAAGACTCTAGGAAAATATAAGGAAGGTAGGAAAAAAGAATGTTAGAGAAAATAAACATATCAAGAAAGATCTTTTAATGAGGTAGATTGGCACATGACTCAGAATCCAGAAAGCCAAGAAATAGGACAGAAATGACAAAGGTAATCCAGATAGAAGCGATTTAGACATTTGAGAGACCAACAGCATCATGGGTTCCTCAAGCAATATAAAAAATTTAGAACCTTCCAGAAGAGTCTTAGCATTTTAAAGGATCCAATATTTCTTAAGAAGAAGTGAAATTTACCCTTCTGTCTCCCACGTACCTGGATCACATTCACCTGCACAGCTTTGATGTGGATTCTCACCCTGTAAAGCCCATGGTTCTTTTCCTTGCTCCAACATGACAACCTCTTCTTCAGGAACTTGATATCCTGTATATGGGAGATGATAAAGGACAGGGTCCTGCTAATTATGTTACAGAGACCAATGAATAAAGTCTTATTGTTCACTGAATATTTGTTCTTCAGAAAAGTAACTACATATTTCTGAAAACAGAGTAATATTCCAAGTGCCATAAAGAGATAAACAATCATAAACAAATCAAGGATAAAATCATCACCTATTTAAGATGTCTCATAGCATTTATCAGCTGAGGATGGAAATACTACTAGTGAGGCCTCCTTCCAAGATGACTGTTTTCATACCTATGGAGAGCAGGTGTCTGTAGGTCTCCAGCATCACATCCCGGTAGAGGTTTCTCTGAGAAGGGTCCAGGTGCTGCCATTCTTCTCTGCTGAAATCTATAGTCACATCCCTTAATGACACTGATCCCTGGAAAGGTACAATCTTATTCAATGTGAACAGTTATTCTTGGGGGATAGAGAGACTATTTAGGAATATGGAACATGGGATTTGTTGCTGTGTTTAATTTAGCTGCCCTTTTTAAAAACTCACCCCCTATTTCTCTATTAATGTTATTATAAAAATAACATTATTTTCAAACATAGAGAATATTGGAAAAAATTGTACAGTAAAAACCTGTATACCCACAACCTAGAATCTATCATTAAAATTACTCTAGCTGTTTTATCATATATCTATCTATCTTACTTTTATTTGCATTTCAAAGTAAATTGTAAATGCCCTGCTAAATACTTTGGAATGCAAATGATTAACTGGAAAATATTTGTTTAATTTTTTCAATAAAATTTACATATAATTAAATGCTATCTGATTTTATGCATTTTGTGGAACACAGAAGTCCAGCAAAGAATTTACGCTATTTGTTCTATACTATGATCAATCATTTATTTTTCTTTCTTTCTTTCTTTTTTTTTTTTTTTTAAGACAGAGCCTCAAGCTATCCCCCTGGGTAGAGTGTCATGGCATCACAGCTCACAGCAACCTCCAACTCCTGGGCTCAAGCGAGTCTCCGGCCTCAGCCTCCCAAGTAGCTGGGACTACAGGTGCCCGCCACAACGCCTGGCCATTTTTTGGTTGCAGCCATCATTGCTGTTTGGCGGGCCCGGGCTGGGGATTCGAACCCGCCACCTTAGGTGTATGTGGCTGGCGCCTTAGCCACTTGAGCCACAGGTGCCAAGCCCAGTCATTTATTTTTATTTTTTCTTTTCCTTTCTTCTTGTAAGAGATTGAATCTCACTGTCACCCAGGCTGGATTGCAGTGGCTGTAGCTCACGACAGCCTCCAACAGTTGGGCTCGAGGGATTCTCCCATCTCAGCCTCCAGAGTAGCTGGGATTATAGGCACACATCACCATCTCTGTTTACTTTTTATTTTTTGTAGCTGTGCAGTCTCACTATGTTGATCAGGCTCAATTATTCAGTTTTCAAAACCGTCAGTTAACATAGCAACTGGATGAACCACTTATAATACACTTTCTGAGCAATTTAGGACTAGCCATCATGCTAGTCCTAGGAAGTTAGCCATGAATTATTCATGTTCCAAATACTCTAGCCACCTTAAAAACTTAAAAACTAAAGAAGGCTGAAGTTTTAAAACAGAAGATAAAGTTCATTAAGGTCTTAAAAAGGAGACCTCCATGTGGGCCCAAAAGAATAAAATGTGCATTCTACATGAGGGTTTACTTTCCATGGAGTTGAAGAATTTATATTGGAAGATAAGAAAAGTAATACAGAATATAGAATGAGGAAGACATTTCTGAGAAGAAATGAACAATATCAGAGAAGTAGGAAAATACACAAGGAGTTTGACAAACAGCAAATAGCTCTATATAAAAGGATAGAAGTCTCCATGACGGGTCAGAAAGGTTGTTATAGGAAAAAAAAGTTTCAGCACAGACAAGCATGGATTTTAATTAACATGTATCAGCTAATATCTGATAATATCTAATATCTACCTGTGAATTACAGAAAAAAAATAATCAGATGTTATGTGCCTCCTGATATGACACAGTAATTAATGTCATTACACCATCTATGAGAAGATTCTTGCCAAATTTTTTTTTTAATTTATTTAGTTTAAGACAGAGTCTTACTGTGTCACCGTTTGTAGAGTGCCTTGCCATCACAGCTCACAGCAACCTCAAACTCTCTCTTGCCTCAGCCTCCCAAGTAGCTGGAACTACAGGTACCTGCCACAACGCCTGGCTATCTTTTTTTTTGGTGCATTTGTCATTGTTTAGCTGGCCCAGGCCGGGTTTGAATCAGCCAGCCTCAGTGTATATGGCTGGCACTGTAACCACTGTGCTACAGGCACCAAATCTATTTATTTAGTTTTTGAGACAGAGTCTTACTCTGTCACCCTTGGTAGAGTGCCATGGTATTATCATAGCTCAGTTATGATAGCTGAGTTTCTTGGGCTAGGCAGTGTTCTTGCTTCAGCTATCTCAGTGGCTATGACTACAGGTACCCCCACAATGCCCGGCTAGATTTTCTATTTTTAGTAGGGACAGGACCTTACTCTTGCTCAGTCTGGTCTTGAACTCCTGACTCAAGCAATCCACCCACTTTGTCCTCCCAGAGTGCAAAAAATAAAATAAAACTCACATCTCATCAAGCCTTCAGATCTACATGTATATTGCTTCTTTTTGCTTTCATTATATAAAAGCTTTATTTATACAATAAAATACAATTTATTGCTTTTATTTTACTATAAAATTTGAGTTTTGTAACTTTGTAGCATTTTAGATAACATTATATTTGTACTTTGTTGTGTAGAGTAAAGGAGTTGTGTTGAATAAACCTAGGATTAGTGTGAAGGAAAAAAAAGCCTTCAGATCTAACAAGCCATTCGGAGACATGGGAAGGAGGAGAAAGGAATATATTGAACAATATCAAGACCAATACAGCTGCCAAATAGAGAAGACAGCAAATAAACCACTTCTTAAAAAAAATAAATTACAACAGAGAATATGAAGGGAATCTTTTCTTTTAAAAGAGACTTGAGAGCCTTTCTAACCAAATGTAACTTCTGGATTTAATTAAAATGAACTGACATTAAAAAGACATTTGTGTCAACTCCATGCCATGCTCAGCGGCTAGGGTGCCAGTCACATACACAGGAGCTGGCGGGTTTGAACCCAGCCCAGGCCCACCAAACAACAATGACAACTACAACAACAAAAAAATAGCCAGGCATTGTGGCTGGTGCCTGTAGTCCTAGCTACTTGGGAGGCTGAGGCAAGAGAATCA